TACCTGAGTATTCTGCACTGCGCCTGAAATTTATACTTCTCAGCTTATGTACAAAGACGTGATAAAAGACCATTAAACCATTAATTTTTGCAATCAAAATTTATTTGAAAAAATAACGTGCTGCTTTGCACTGATAACAAAAACAATAATAATAATAAATGAAAAATAGGAATAAAATATAACAGAAAAAGGTGATTACATGTTTAAAGCAATTATAAAATTACATACATGTATAAACCAAGATCCAAGTGAGATAAACAAATCTATGCATGCATTTGCATGTTAAACTTCAACAAAAACTTCATTTCAGTACATGTATTTAATGCAGTCATATATTTCACTTTCATATTAATTGAATGCCTTTTTTTTATATCTGCAGGTATATCATTTTTACATCAACAAATAACTGGCAGTTACACAACCTCAATACAATATAGATTGGATTTTACTTAAGAAAGCATGCTGCATTTTTAATAGATACACACAGAAAACTACTTGGCACATGACTTTGAGTTATGGTCTGCACCATGACAGTTTGAACATTTCCTACCTTCTTTTGTTCTTTTCCCTTTTCCCTCGAGAAATAAGAGCCGATTTTGTTTCTCTAATACTTGCTTCAATGCAGGTAATCCTCTATGACATGATCCCCTAAAAAACTGCTTTGTTATATTATCATTGAGTTTTTCTAGTCCTTGTTGGCTAAATCTTACCATGGTTCCATGAGTTCTAATGATCTCTCCCACATGATATCTCAACAAGTGTATGTATGGGGTAATATCTCTTGTTTGATACACCTGTATATAAAGAGCACACCAGCTTTTTGCCTTCGCTTCAATCTCATCAGGGTCTGGATTTTCAGATTTTATTAACTCATTTATGTCTTTAAAGCCATCCCATAATTCCTGAATCTCTGCTGCTCTGTCCTTATCCTCAAACAAATCTGATGCATGAAAATGGTCAAACAAAACACGCTTCTCTGGACCTGTAAGGTCTCTGTAGTCCAATTTCTTTGTTTCTTGATTTACACCTATCTCAAAATGTATTCCAAGTTGCTGTAGCACATTTTCTAATTTCAAAACATGCTTCAGTTTGTCTTTCTTCTCGTACACACTTGTAAATGTGGAGTTCTCATTTATGTTATCTAAGCATCTTAAGTCAGAAAGGAGAAGATTGAACAATTTGTCAGATATTCTCAAATACATATGCAAATGGTCTATAACAACACGATTTGGAGTAATGCTTGGAAAAAGTGGCTTATTCTTCACAGAAAAAAAACCCTTGTTGACCTTCTTTCTCTTTAGTGATGAAGATTGTACCAATTCCTCACACTTATACTCAAGTCTAGCTCCTTTGGATGGATCAACCATAGACCAATTTCTACTGAGGTCTAGTTTTTCAGCCTTGTTACATGTGCAGTAAATGCAAAAATGCTGACAAGCTACTGAAGATATTCCAGTAGCAAGCAGAAGAAATTTATAATCCCCGCCTAAAACTATTTCAATATCAAAACTTCTATGTTGTACTTTTAGACTATTGCCATCTAGTTCCTCAACTTCCTTAACCAAATCTGATAAACCCAATACTAGATCACTATATTTTTCTGCAGTTCGTATGACAGCCAAAGGGTAGTTTCCCCGGACTGATGCACTCCTTTCTTCATTTACAATAGTAAAAGTAACATTAACAACATGAATCCTTTTCCCTATATTTGTACCATCCCCTGATATTTTAATTTTTACCTTACCTGCAGGGGCAAAGTTCTTGTCAGTTTTAATCTTATGTGAAAGTACGTCATGTAAATGTTTTTTCAAACTCTGCTGAACACCAAGTCCATCTGGAGTTTGGATGATATCAAATTTTGAATTTAAATCTGAAAGAACTTTATTAACAGCGTTAATTCTTGGGAGGGTTTTAAATGCCATACTCAACTCATGATATGCATCTTTACTGATGTTAAATGTATCTAAAATGTAAATCAGAGCATTCAAATCATCTAAAGTTTCACTTGCCTCCAGTGACTGGTTTTCCTTATTTTCACCAGTTTCATACAATCTAAGCACCTCCTCTTTTCCATTCCTGACCACTGTGACAGATACAGGCACAGCATCTGAATCTTTTAAAAATGACAGTGCTTTTTTACAATGTTCTTCATCTTTTTTCCTAATTTTCGACTGCCAACTAGGTGTGCAATCAGCAAATGCTTTCCGCTTTATAGGTTTCACTTCAGGAGTACCAATTACTGCACTTAAATTACATAACTTTTCCCTCAACTCTTTGTTTTCTTTTTCTTTATCCCTTAGATCTTTTTCAGTATCAGCCTTTATTTTATCAACTAAAAACTGAGTTTCTTCTCTATCAACTTTGACGTCCCAACTATATTTGGAATGTTTTAATTGTTCTTTAAACTTTCTAAATTGTGACCCACCCTTCACTTTTGCTTGTAAACCATTTTGTTTAAGCCTAAAAAGTTCAGCACGTAAACATTTCAAACTATGTTCATCTGGGAGAAATTTCAATGTACAGATGCTTTCAATAGCTGTTGATATTTCTTTAACAGTTGGTATATTTAATGGTTTATTCCAATAGTTTTTCAATAGTATATTAAAAAGTTCTTCTCTAGAAATGATGATCATTTTTTAAATGTTAACTTTGGCATTACAAGAGAGGGTCATCCATCAAATTTGGTAACATTCTGTAGTTGCCAGTGCACTTCACAAAACTGACTATGACTTGTTTGCCCCTTGGCCGAAATGATTCTTCAATCCTGAGCTGACCACCAGTCTTTCGGACAACAAATTCTTTGGATTCTCTTAGAGATTTATGATAAATCTTAACTGTTGCTGTTTTAATATAAACACAATCTCCTTCCTTATTAAGTATCCTAAAATCCCAATGTTTCCCAAAAATAGAGTTCAAGTCGAAGCGTGACCTTAAGCTGTACACAGTTTTTGTTTCTGTTTTTTTAAACATGTGTAGCTTTTCTTGAAGACAAGAAAAATCCCTTTCATCCATAGGAGTTTTTAGCCTTACAATGCTGTCCAGTCTTGAACCTGTTGTCAGACTGTCCTTGATCATTGAACCCACATTCACAATTGACTGTGTCCCCTCACATTCATTAGTCTCAAGTTCTGCCTCTTTGATGATAGTGTCATACTTTGCACTCCATCCTATCAATAAAGATTTTACATCATAAATAAACTATGACAAATTTCAATGATGCATTTTATCAAATACACCTGTTGATCTAGTGTGCAAAAACCATTTACCGGTACATTGAATTATTAGCTTGAAGTGACTTCAAACAATTTCTTTCCCCCCCCCCTTCCTTCCTCTCCCCAATATCCGTTCAATTTCTGGCAGGGAGTTAAATGAGAAGGTACATTTGTAACATTTTGTTCGAAAAATGTTTTGTATTTCATTTCATTACATGTAATATGATCCCATAGTGTTATTTTGTCAAGGGAGGTATTACTCCAGGTAGTTTTTAAAATTAATGTTTTCAAACAAAAATGTATTACTATGATTGAACCATTGATACCTGATAATTTTTTTAAGATGAAGAAGAAGAAGAAAAAGCAGACGAAACTATCATAAGAGTAACAGAGATTATTAATTTTCTTAATGCGTCACTAGGAGTCGAACTCATGACCTCTCACCAGGGACGTATATAACAGAGTATACGTATTATATGTCCCTGCTCTCGCTAACTAGTGTTACACTTTACCGAATGAGATAACAAGATCTCCCTAGCTGAGTTGGTAGGAAACAGCTAGTATTTACAAGGCTGACATAAGATTTTCTTTAGAGGAATTGAAAGATTACATTTGATTATACAGATTTTTCTATATACAATGATATAATATTAATCATGTATCGAAAGTGTTAATGATCACATATTTATGCATATATATAAGGAGACTTGAGTTTAAAAAAATCCTGAAGATTCTTGATTAATGGTATAACATTGGTAATTTGTTTTTAAGTTATAGAACATAACTGTTACTGTTCAACAGCCTGTGTTAAATGTTACACACCTAATGATGAAAGTTTATGCATGCATATATTATATGTATACAGTTAAAAATAAATAATAAAAAAGTCAACAAAATGCTGAAAGCAATAATTATCAATAGTATTTACTACATACAACATACCTGTAAAATGACCTTTGACATAACCATCTTCTGGACTGGACAGGATTTCCACCGGATACAATCCTGCTTTCCACTCTTTTGATTTCAAACTGCTCTTTCTTGCCTTTGGCAATTCAACAAAGTTCAAATCTCTGCAAAAAATATTGATTTTACAATATACAAATGAAATTTTACATTTACGCTTTAGATGTACTTGGAACCTGTGGGTGGAAGAGTGTGAATGCATTAGAAAACTATTTTTAGCTTGAGATGTATAAGCATATATACATGTACAGTATACAGTAAATACCTTACTATTTTCAATCTACATGTACATTTGGCCTATATTTCATGCTACAGTACTAGTACAGTACAGTACTAGTTCAGAACCCCCCCCCCCTCCCATTAGTTTCACACACACAAAATGCTTTCTATTTTGCACATAAACACCTAAATCACAATACTTATTGAATAACCCATATGTTATATCACAGCACATGCATTGAAATGGACTTAATTTGATTTAACCCAAATACATTTTTTCCCGAACGAAGGAGTTCCCGCGGCTCAACTTGCACTAAGATAGTTGGTATATTTTACCGGTAACACCGGTGCAATGCAGCACTGTCTGCCTTTCGATTGTCTATTGGTACATTATGTCATTCCATTCAATCACAACCATTATTAAATACTCGTTTTTACACTTATTAGACTACTTACGAGTAAGAACTCACCGAGATCCCGTCTTTACCTTTGATTTCGGGCTTCCTTTTTGAACAGCAAGTCAAAACCGACGCCATTTTTCTTTTCTACGAGTTGAATAATTCAGGGGAGTTAACTCTGTATGTCACTACAAAATAATCTTGATATGCTGATGTATTTGCAGAACCCGAGACGGAGGATGTCTCTTTAGAGTGTGGACCAACACCTTGCTTTGGTAAGTGTATCAGACTTGATGTATACATTGTGGAAAATCATTACACGTTGACACAAGTTTAACTTTTTATGTTGATACACGCATTTCAAACACAGCATGTCGGAAGGTGCCGAAGATTCCCGATTTAGCACGAAACTTTTACGTAATGATGAAACCCATTGAATAATCATATTATCTACATGTATAACAAAATATACATATTCGAATATAATTATTTTTCATGTTTTGATAGTTAGTACATGTTTTCTATCACGAACAGAGCCCGTGTCCTCGCTGCCAGAATTGGTGTTGTCGTTAGATTTGTGCGAGAATGGACAGAGCTGTTCTCTTTCCTCGTTTGCTGTAACGGAGGACAACAACATCCTCGGCATGGACCAGTACGAAAATAGAGTTGTTCTGTATTCTGGACAAGACGGTTCCATATTAAACACATACAACTTTGAATTTGAACTTGAAGAACTCGCCTATCAAGATCACGGAACCTTTTTCATAGGACACACCCCTCGTAATGACCGCACAATCTACAAATATAATGCATCATCAGGACAACTTACAGAAATTTTGTCCATTCGGAATGGAATGTCATCGTACGGAATGGAATTCCTTGATGGAATGTTGTTCGTTGGTGGACAATATGGCGGCGGGATGCATGTTTATTTATTAGGTCAGCCTAATGCTCGCGTTGTTGAGATCTACTCTCACATCACTAACTATGACCAGTATCATAGTGTATATCTATGTACCACAGAACTCGGATCTAAATACGGACTGTTTACTGGACGAATGGTCAGAAATGAAATGGTCCTGATTACATCAACGGGAGAGAGGATATGCTCGATAAAGCCAGATTATGAATATCAGTCGATACGATGTGGTGTTGTGAGCAGGGAAGGCACTTTCTACCTCCCTGGAGAAAGAATGATCGTTCGGTACAATACCAGGTGCGAGCCCACTGGAATGTTCCCCATCCTTGATGTGGATTATTATGTATCAGGACTGGACATACAAAATGGCAAACTGTATGTTCATAAACAAAATGGAAGATTTGATGTTTTTCAAATCTAGATACATCGGGGATTACTGGAATTGAAATATCCTAAATTGCTGCTTTAATTGACGACTTTATCTATGCTCTGATTGTTCTTTTTAACGTTGTCGAAGTAAGCTTATGGTTAATGGTAAATTATATTTAGTTAACACAGGTCATGATTTCTTGAAGCATTTCTTTCTTCAACATGTTCTCCGTTTATATTCCACATAGTAAATGAACATTAATTCTGCAATGTGTTTGACAACAATGTGTGCTCTATTGGTTATTCCACACTTTGAATGTTATCTTAAATCCTTATCGAACTCTGAAACAGGTGCGACAACGACTGATATCACAACGACTAAGCATTATTTATTATAGGTATAATAACGCAATATTAATACCAAACTTAAAATCAACAACCAACAACTTAACGTTTGGACAATCCTGGCCCCATCGGCTGTCACGCTGATAGGGTGAAACTAAGGGAAGTAACTCCGCAATATCGAAACTATTTTGCACAACAATGCCGCTATATAAGGTGCCTTAAATGATAGTAGTATCCAACGCGTGACCATCGTGACGTCATTGTGGGCTCGGACGTGGTGACGTCATAGGGAATGTCTCACTTGACCGATTACATGATTGATAATGACTAATTCAGATAGACTAAATAAATTTTCTATCGGCCTAAGGATGCCTAGCGAATGAAAGTTATAAGTATTTATTGTCTTGTTACGAAATTAATGATAAATATTTAACCATCACATATTTAAAGATAAAGATATTTTATTTGTGATCATCATGGGTCAGGTGGAAGCTTTGGTGTGTAGAGTATTTGTGTTTGTTAATAAATTTGTAAGCAGCCGCATCTGGTTTGTTGGAGTGTTCTTTCAGTGTATAATACCATCTCAAGCCGACACCCTTTGTAGCGATTCTTGTTGACGCGTGCATAGATATAGGGCCAGGTAGCGACAGCTTGTAATAATGTCTGTTCAGTCTAAAGGGGATTTTCAATGGTCGCTTCAGCAATGAAAACGGTCGTCCTATGACCCTTGCTGCCAAGAGGCACACCCGGTGCATCAAAGAGCTTTAAAGACATACAAAAGTGGTTCCGTGAAAAAAGACCCGAGAAAAGCTCCGATGTCGCTGATGTCGTAACGAGATGAAGTGATCAAATATATTTGCCTAAAAGGAAAGTGAGGATGGTTCGATTCACGTGTCGCACTTGAATATTTTTGAGTCACAGCTGGTTTTCTCCGGACGTATCGATTTTATTCCACAACGATCGAGTCAACAGGAGTGATAAATGGAAGTGGACAAAGTTTGTCGTAATTGTAAAAGATAAAATGAAGTACGCATTTTAAGAAAAAGAAGATTGTGAACAGCCTTGTAGTGCTTTATAGAGTTAGAAATTTGAAAATAATAATAATATCTGGAAGACATATCCTTATTATCTATGTACGTATGTATGTAGCTTATAGCAGGGGATATGCACAAACCAATGGAACAAAAACAAATTAAATATTCATGAATGTACGTTGAGACCAAATGAAGTAAATAATGTTCATTTTAAGCTTGTTCTATGTTTTAAAATAAATAGTGTAGTTTGATGTTGAATGGAAGGATATTGCTCTCATTGTACAAGTAACTATGTACTGGGATGGTTAAAAAAACTTAATGTGTTAGTTATATCGTTTCAGCTTTTCTACCGCTAAAGTATCTCAGGTCATATTTGTACAATTGTACATGATCGTGACTGACTGAAATGTCAATAAACAGTATGTGGTGTAAATCCTTGTAGTTGATATGTTTTAACTTGAAACTGATAGAATGCATGTCACCGTCGAGAATGTATCCTATTTGTAAATGACAGTTGTTGCTTTTCTGACGTCAGATAGGCGCCATGTTGTAACAGCTAATCAAACACAGATGAACAGCTCTCATTTTCCTCCCTTTCTAACTAAACCAAAAAGTACGATGATTTTTAAAATTTCTGTTAAAAAAACTAAACAGGTTTAAATGTCTTTCTGTCATAATATATAACTATGATGACTCTGAGTAGTGCCATCAGACAAGTGTTGGAATGTGAACATTGCCCAGTGTCATTTTTGTCGAGAAGAAAACAACACCAAGTTAATAAATTTGAAGAAACAGCAAGTCTGAAATTATGTCTTTTATGATTACTAACAATAGCTTATACAGTTTCAAAATACTGACATGTTCGTCTAGAAAATCTGTGAATATGAAGTTTTTTCCTGCTGTGGAATGTGGTTTTAACTAAAGTTTTTATCAAGAATGTCTAAAAATATTTCCAAACCTTCATATACCTGTAAGTTTAAAATCAAATCAAATTTGAAAATGCTGATCAGTAAGAACTGATAATAGTGTTTATTTACATATTGTAAATTAAACTGTCCAACATGTCGGTATTCTGTCCCACCTGGAAAATAAATCAGTGTAGCACATCATAAAGAAATGATATATATGTTTTTTTTTTTTTTTTTTTTTCATTTTTTAACTTAAAGAAAATCTTTTATATGATGCTTGTTATTTGAAGCTTCGAAACATCATAAGTTTAACGCTGTCGAAACAGCCCTATCGAAACCCGGGAGCTTCCATCGTGTGTTCGATATGCGAGCTTTTAGCGACTTACTTGATATATTGCATTGACACTTACTGATGTAGGTTATATCTTAAGTGCTACATACATATAAGTAGATACCTTTTACGGGTAATGTCCTGGAGGACAGAAGAACACCCCTCCATGGAGGACAGAAGGACACCCCTCCGTGGAGGACAGTCAAAGGGAGGGAGTTCCCTTTGACTGTCCTCCACGGAGGGGTGTCCTCCAGGACATTACCCGTAAAAGGTATCTACTCATATAAAAATGACTTTTTTACAATTTCAATTGTGATTTTTCCCTTTTGAGTAGACAAACGATGTGAGTGTCTGAATACACATGTGGAGGCTATCCAGATTAATTTGTGTTTTCATACTTTGTAAATCTAGTGACTATAAATATTACACTTTTTATTATCCAGTCGATCTCTACAAATTATAACGAATCCTTGATTTATACCACTCAAAACGACAACCGATTAAAAACTGATGTATTTTACGAAAGCGTACCTACCACCCCTTTCTTTACAAATGGAGATGTACTATTGGGACAAATACTCCAGTATAGAAACCTATACTTATATTGGGGAAGCAATATGTGTGTTTTAATCTGCGTCTCTAAAAGCCAATAAAAATGTGAATACGTATGTAGTATTTGTGACAGCGGTTAACTTGAATGTTTCCATGAGTTAGAAGTGTATATATACAATACTAACGGACTTCGTTATCCTAGAGTCGTCGATTTAGCTGTTAAACTCACTAGTAAATTTTTAAATAATGCTTCGTGAACTTCTGATAACCTCTGTGAAAATGCTTTCTACTCCATTTTATAGTGTTATCTTTATACCAATTAAAGGGATGTTTTCTTATAAAATTTCACTGCTTTGAAAGTTGCGTTCTTGTTGGATACAATTTTGTTCGGAAATTCTCATCTTACCGTAGATCTTAATTCAAATATCTTCAAACATCTCCAGTCCTTCACTAAGTCTAAAATACAAATTTTGATTTTTGATGGCAATGGTCATTTTAGATATACAATGTATGCATATTTTTTATAAAATTGATTGTTTCCATTATAACTGATGCCTAATCTTTTGTCCTGAGGTTGACAGTAGGTATGTTTGAATTGAACACTTTTGACGAATTTCATACGGCTGTTTACCGTCAACATATTATTATCGTCTGATGATCCAATTCCTCAAAACTCTTACTTGCAGTCTAAACTTTAAATATCGTCTCGCCTATTCCTTCTATGGCGGCTGCTAATAGTCGTTGCATATGTGACGTCACAGCCGATAGGGTCCCGTTCAGCCCAAGGCTGATGAGTAGGAGGACAGGGGCAAATCGTACACGTCAATATTTCGGTATTGGGCCGGCTGATTTTGATGCCGTTTTCAATCTTTTTGATACTGGATCATAAGAAATAATACTGTATACATTTTTTTTCACTCAGGGTACACTTTAACTTCGGCCAGAAGATTAGTCCCACCAGTGAGCATTAAAACGAGCATGTCAGGTTGTTGCAGTTTACAAACACAAATCAAATGGGTCTTGGTGGCAGTAAACCGATTCACTAAATGGATTATCCAAAAGATCAGTTATACAGGTACCAGCCTCGTCTGTCAATACACTCATATACAGGTACCAGCCTCGTCTGTCTATACACTCATACACAGGTACCAGCCTCGTCTGTCAATACACTCATATACAGGTACCAGCCTCGTCTGTCAATACACTCATATACAGGTACCAGCCTCCTGCCAATACACTCATACACAGGTACCAGCCTCGTCTGTCAATACACTCATATACATATACCAGGCTCGTCTGGCAATACACTCATACACAGGTACCAGCCTCGTCTGTCAATACACTCATATACAGGTACCAGCCTCGTCTGTCAATACACTCATATACAGGTACCAGCCTCCTGCCAATACACTCATACACAGGTACCAGCCTCGTCTGTCAATACACTCATATACATATACCAGGCTCGTCTGGCAATACACTCATACACAGGTACCAGCCTCGTCTGTCAATACACTCATATACAGGTACCAGGCTCGTCTGGCAATACACTCATATACAGGTACCAGCCTCCTGTCAATACACTCACACACAGGTACCAGCCTCGTCTGTCAATACACTCATATACAGATACCAGGCTCGTCTGGCAATACACTCATATACAGGTACCAGCCTCCTGTCAATACACTCATATACAGGTACCAGCCTCGTCTGTCAATACACTCATATACATATACCAGGCTCGTCTGGCAATACACTCATACACAGGTACCAGCCTCGTCTGTCAATACACTCATATACAGGTACCAGGCTCGTCTGGCAATACACTCATACACAGGTTACACACTCATACACAGGTACCAGCCTCGTCTGTCAATACACTCATATACAGGTACCAGGCTCGTCTGGCAATACACTCATACACAGGTACCAGCCTCGTCTGTCAATACACTTATATACAGGTATAAGCCTCGTCTGTCAATACACAGGTACCAGCCTCGTCTGTCAATACACATATACTGTTAACAAGGTTTGTAACTCTTGCAAGTGGAGATAGGCTCGGTATCCTGTTATCTTGGAGACACTGGACTTTGGAGACAAAAATAATAGGAACATTGTCCTATAATTGTACAGACGATATAACACAGACGTCTCCATTTTTATGGTCCAAACGATTATTATCATTAGTGTGATCATATAATGAAGAAATTACAAGTGTTCTGCAACGAAAAAAATCAGTAGGTTATTTAAGCAAAGCGATATTCACTGATTCTTTAACTCTTAGCACCCTTAGCACATAGAAGCCACCAAATTACAAGTGTTCTGCAACGAAAAAATCAGTAGGTTATTTAAGCAAAGTGATATTCACTGTTTCTTTAACTCTTAGAACTGTTAGTACCCTTAGCACATAGAAGCCACAAATAAATTACGTTCAAAAACCGTTTTATTCCTCAAAATAAAGCTTTGCTTTGCAATTATCTAATGAACATTCGTGAGGTATATATATATAGAATAATGTAAATGTACACAGGGAGAAGGAGAGAGAGTACCAGTAATATCAGGTGTCTGATCTGTGTAAAACACAAATAATTGTGTTGGCAATAATACTTTTACAATATGATAATGTTCCAGTGACTAGTCCTTTGGTTGAGTATTAACCTCGAGATTGTTGCTCCAATTTGAATTATAAATACTTTTTTACATTTTTGTTAAACAATGAAAACATACTTTGTTTCAACTTTGAAGTTGATGATATATAACCGAGAAAAATGCATAGGTACATTGATATCACACTGTCAATGGTGCATACAAAAACAAAGCAGTGTCTGCACAGATCGATACTTCTACAGATAAAGGCTAACATGAAACATGTTGTCTATATTCATTTCATCAACATTACTTAACCATAAAATATCAATATTTAATATCAAAACCGAAATCAAAGGTTAACCACATAATTTGACTGCACAAATAGTAGCCATACTCTTTATATTAACGTGTGGAATTATAATATTATCTTTGATGTTTAGACAATTAATTTTTCCCATCGTAGTAGTAATTGACAACCTTCTCTTTCTAATCCTATTAAAGATATTCTTCAGTGGTTTACCTATGATTTCTCCATTCTATAAAAACAAGTGTAAGACTAATATTACACGATGATATCAGAAATGTACGACAGTGGCGTACATACAAATGCGAAAACAATAAAAAAAAATATACAATAAATACGCGTCACAACTTCCCCGTCTTCTAACAACCTTCAGTAGATGGTGCTAGATGCTGAAAGTATTGACATCTCAAGATAGCCAGAAAAAGAAATCGGCTCAAAGTGTTGTAGGAAAGAAATAGAAGATGATGTACATTGTCCAAGCAATTAATAAACCTAATCGTTTAATAATTTAAATGTTACATGAAGGCGTAAGCAAACATCAACTACAAATTTAACAGAAGTTTTTTACAACCAAGCTATGTCAAGATAAAAAATGATCATGCATATGAAAATCGAGAAGAAAAGTTATCACAACACCTTGTAAGTTACATCTCTCTACACGTGTTGGTTGTCAGAAAGACATATCACAGAATATCAGAGAGTAGAGATGTATTGTCAAATTATAATGGTGGTAGACGATGAAGTAAGATTCCAGTGATAATCACAAGCATTATCACGTTAATGTCCATAAACAAAGACAAACATTAGATATAAACTCTTACATAACTTCAATGATTACGTCTTCTCCATTATTTGAAAAGAAAGCGAGTTCATTAAAAAAAATTGTATAATAGTGTTGTACCACTGAAATGCTACTACATATTGACAGCACGAGAAATCTTTCATAAATACATATTTGAGTAAGTGGTACAAAAATAGAAAATAATATTAATGAGTTAAAACAATTTTGGCAAAGACTACAAAGTAATTTTCGTTTAACTGGAATTTGAGGTTCCCCCTAGGTACCATTTAAAATAAGCAACTTCGTAGACTAAAATGAAGCTCTGTACTGTGCAGTTATCTCGTTAGTACATACTCTGGTAAAGAACTCGCTTCATCAGCCGTATTACTATTACTTCTTCGCTTGTTACACAATAAAATAGTGTAAGTCAACTTTGTAACTTTGCGATATACTTCTCTTCATTGGTTTCATTCCGCCGGTAAATCGATACGCCAAATAATAACTATTCTGTTGACCCTACATACAAAGAGCAACTGTTTTCAACAAACATTAATGTCATGAGTGGTTTATGAACTTATATGCAATGGAGAAAAACCGGGGAAATTTGAAGCGCTGCCTTTTGATTGTGTAAAATAAAGCTATTGCTAACTTACAGAATAGTAATAGTAACAATAACTATACGTTACATGTTTTTCTTCCTCGTTTCTCTGGATGTTATATCAAAAAGACTGAACTTATAATTAATAGCTGATTTGTATTGTAGCATTCCAGAAACTACTCGGCTATCTATGAATCGATCAGCTATTAAATCATCGTGTTCAATCCTTTATCTCACTATCGTTTTATCGTAAATAAGCTATTTAAATTGGTGTTAACATTATTTAAATACAATACTGTACTACAACATATCAGCATATGAGTAATTAAAGAAAGTGTATAAACCTAAAGAAATGAAACTGTAACACATTGATCTTTAAAAGTATGTGTGATCATATGTTTGAATTGTTTACAGACTGCAGTACATTAACCATCAAACACATTGACGTCAGCTGTAATGACTGGATTAGAATCCTGTTTCAGCTTTTCCAATATGAATATAGACCCCTCTTGTCATCAATATGATAATGAAAGACATGCCATTATGGTGTGACTATTGTACATTTTTTTTTTACAATTTTTGCGGTTTTCCAATATTGATACACAAAATATTTATTATGAAACGGACCGCAAATGTTTGTTTGATCTATGAATGCAAAGCTTAGCAAAACTAGTTTACCAGCAAATCAATTTTTATAAACTCATCGTAAAATCTGGCAAAAGCCAGGTTTTTCAATGTATTCGTACTGTTATTGCTCATCTCGCTATCATTAACATTTTTGCACGTTTCTTTATCACAGAAGCAGAACTCTGACAGCGGATATAACATGCATCATTTTCATCATGTTTTGACTTATGTATTGTTGTTTGACATGTGAAAAAAGGTTGTAATTGTCGTCAACAAAGCTAATGGGAACCAAAACTCAACTTAAAGGAAAGAATAAATGCATTGTAACATTGCTAATACGACCAATAAGCCGATATACTGCAACATCCGCGAAGAATACCACTGCTTATAGTCTGAATCCGGGTAAAACATCTTTGTAATCGCTGGGAACGTCCACTTCATTTTCCCGGACTCCTCACACTGATATTTTTCCAGCTCGTTGTCCACGTGTTGCCTTTTATTACTAATTGGTTTATCATGAACATCCAACACATCTGAGGACCCTTGATGATCTGATTCACTCACGGAGTTTGTGATTAATGTATGTTGATCTGATTCGGAGCTCTGCTGAACTGTGTTGTCTGTTATGAATCGAATGAATTCCTTTATATTGTCATGTTCCTCTTTAAAATGAATACTGTTTGACAAATCCAAAGCAGATTCGGATAATGTTAACGCCTCCTTGATATTGCCTTCAACAAAAGCGATTTTCGCATTTGCCGCATAGAAAGACATTCGCCATCGAACTTCCAACTGTTGCCAGCCTTCCCCCGTATCAATAGTTTTAAGAAAGGACCGTGCATTTTCTATGTTTTCTTTTGTGACACAATCATGGCGAATGTTCCTCAGCGTATAGCCAAGACCGAGGTTAGCCAGTGACTGTAGAAACCGTAGCCCCCTGTTGATATAGAGTTTATAAGCCAGATCTTCGTTCAGCTCTTCGTCAACCGCAAAGTGCATCGCAGCAGCTGCGGATTTCTGTAAAAGCTCCTTTTTCGTAACTATATCAGAACTCTTTTCGTATATTTGCCAGTAAACTTTGAACTCTGTGATAAGAACTAGGGATGTTTCGCGACAACCTGGAAGGAACGGAAAGTTACTCTTTGCCTCGTTCAGTACACTCAAGACTTCTTCACACGGTTTTCTAGCTGTCAAAAGAGCGTGAGCGAATATTGTCAATAGAGATGTGACAGAAGCGCAGGGATGCGATGTGTAGGGTACGAGTTGGGCAATATCACTGAATAAAGTTCGAATTGTATTGTCCTCCGCGCCTCCTTCCGATAACTTTCTCATCTGGAGAATTTTAGCTTCGAAATACCTGTTAGCAATAAGATGTCTCCTGAGAGTATCGTCCTGGTGTTTTTCCCATAGAGCCTGATATCTATATAACTCATCGTCAAATTCGTGCAGCAAGTGCTTGCCTTGGTTAAGTAACCTTCGTAATTTACAATACAGCTTTGTCGCTTGGAAATGTTCTTTGGTAAACACTGTTCGTCTGATTTCCCTGGACGGGTTGCAGATTCCAGTGAATGTGTAATCTTCGTCATTTACTGGTAAGCTCAAACTTCGAGACTTGCGACGTGGTGTCGCTATAACCTCGCCTAGAGTAACGAGCAACTCAGTACATAGGTACGGAAAGCTGTTGTCGTGGATCAGGGCGTTAAGTAATGGAGCCAATGCATACTTGTTTTGACACAACTCCAAAAGCAAACGACGGCATCTGTCTCGAGATGTCCTATTTTCATCCGTTACGAACTCTAAACTTTCTTGAGACAGAAACTCATTTTCGTAAAGATAGTCAGCAATATACCTTGTGTCTACATTTTCAAGCAGCCTGGTGTGTTCCCTCCTGATAGCATCGTTTCCAATTGTTGACATGCTTGTGTTATGGAATGTATTCCAAACAGTAGGACAGCAAGTTTCTTAGGTTTCATCGTAACAGTTGTCTTGGTATGAACCTAAAACAAAGTCATTGAAATATTTGTGACAGGGCGTTCATCATAAATCTACCCTCTTATCAATGTGGTAACAAGACATGAATTGTGCTGTGACCAGACATGTACTGAAGATGTAATTTGATCAAGTTTCGTATTGTTCTTGTGTGCCTAAAAATTATGTCTTCGAAAAGGCCCGATTCATGAATCCCGTAAAAATAATTTCCGTATAAAATGCTCTACATGGTCAGAAAAAGAACAAAATGATTGTGTTGCCAGGAAAAGGACAAAATTGGTGTATTGACAAATAAAGGACTGGGTTATTGTATTGCCAGATAATGGACAAGATGATAATATTGCCAGAAAAGGGACAAATTGTTGTACTGACAAATAAAGGCCATTTTCATTGTATTAACAGATAAAGGACAAAATCATTGTATTGACAGCTAAAGGACATAGTTGTTGTATTAACAGATAAAAGACAAAATTATTGTATTGACAAATAAAGGACATTTTCATTGTATTAACAGATAAAGGACAAAATCATTGTATTGACAGTTAAAGGACATAGTTGTTGTATTAACAGATAAAGGACAAAATTATTGTATTGACAAATAAAGGACTGGGTTATTGTATTGCCAGATAAAGGACATAGTTATTGTGTGAACAGATGAAGGACAACATTATTGATTGTCAGATCAAGGATATAGTTATTGTATAACCAGAAAAAGGACAAAGATGTTGTGTTGCCAGATAAAGAACAGCAATTTTACGTGTCCTCCTTGTGTATTGTGTACTCAAATATATAGTATATACAGCTCTATGCATTTAACCATATGCTTATATCATACATCCATTATCAGCATTTAAAGACAAATACAACACATAAATCAGTGAAACAAATCCTTAATCTTAAAAGGCAGTAAAATAAATTAAAACAAAAAAGGAATTACACGTAAAGGTATATGTATGTAACATTTCGTTAACAGCTATTTTTAGCTACAGCAAAATTGATATCACAAGCTGTATAGAGTTTTGTCACTGAAATATAGCAAATTATATAGATTACATTCAATCTTCGTTAATCGAAAATTCACTTAAGGTCTATTCCAAATAAGATACATTTAAAACAACGGTGATATAAGAATGGCTGCTGCACTGCGAAATCACAGCTCTATTGTCTGTTGAATTATTCTCTGACACTATCAAATCAACCGGTGATTGGATGATAGCGACTAAATCTTAAGGAATACAAAAGTGTTGTAATTCCAGCTTACTGTTATGCCAGACATAGGAATGACTGTTTTAAAACTAAAAATTTCTTTACATACAAGTGTAATTTTACTAGTGACTTAATGGAGTAGATAAAAACGTATTAAGTGGAAAACGACCCCTACAGTGAATATGATATGCAGTGAGGTAATAGTGGAGGTGAAAGAACAGGTAGACCTTTCTAACTACGTATAATAAATGTATATACCAATCCAAAGTTCAGGGTTTATCATGTCACGTGCATCGTTATGTTATAGATTGCCCTGTCATCTTCTCTGAAACAGAAATAAAAAAGCAATTAAGACGGTGATTTCATCTGGGAAGTATAGTTATCTTTGGTATACAGCACTTCAGACTCCAACTTCAAAATGATAAATGATGAATATATTGTAATGAATTTTCAGGTGTTTCCTTATGGAGATAGATGTTAACAGAGCGTGTCTCAGTTCTGTTTTAAACCTTTGTGACGCTCATGGGTTTTTTTTTTTTGTAGAAATCACAAGCCCCGGCAAACTTAATTATGTTAGTAATTAGGATACTAGGATAATTGCTTTAGAAAATAAACAAAAAATGTACTGCGCAGAGCAGAAACAGTGCTGACACCTGGATAAGTTTGCTTCAAATATCATACACGTATCCAAAGCCTGTGTTATAGTGTCAGCTATGTCGATATCTAACTTGGGAACAATTTCAGAAGTCGATTGTGATAATTAAATTTCGTCATTAGGTTACGATGTATGCGTGTTGCAGCACGTACAACAGACCGGTTTGATGAACTATTAACTTTTCTTACAAGATTGAGAACCAACGGTAGTATTTATATATATATACACAAAGTCTAACGTAAGTAGAAGTTAGCACGTGAATTGATTATTAGAACTATGCGGATTTAACTATTCAATGAGTGTGCGTTTTAAACCATATATTTGTAGAAGAAAATATTTGTGAAATGATCACCGCGAACTGATGTCGATAAACCTCACCATCACGAGGCCACTTCGTTATTGTCACCCATCCTTATCCCACAAACCACATCGAGCTGACAACGAATGTGTCACACCGCATAACAAAAAAAGTATACTTGACAGATTTATTACGAAGTGTTATTATACACAACTGGTTAAAGTCTAGTAAAACGTACGCCAAACGACCTAGACATAGCATTTCCATATAGCGTAGTAGTCTAGTAAAGACCTTCACAAGTATTGCTTCATATCTAAGCGAGTGTATCCGTAGATTTAAACCAATCCATCATATCTTTGCCATGATTAATATCACTGTATGACGTATCAGCGCGTAGAAAGACATTCGCCATCGAACCTCCAACTGTTGCCAGCCTTCCCCCGTATCAATAGTTTTAAGAAAGGACCGTGCATTTTCTATGTTTTCTTTTGTGACACAATCATGGCGAATACTAAATGCTAAACAATTTTGTTTCAACTGTACACCCTCTAAACTACTGTGATGTATACAGCAACTAATAGTGTTTTGTAGATAGTTTTATCCCAATACGTGATGTAGTTATTTTCAATCATCAACGCCTAACTTCTGTTGTCTTTTCACAAATACTTTCATTTTCATTAATATTTTACAGTCGAGAAAACAAAAGCCATTAAAAATGAGATAAAAATCCATCACATATATTATCACAAGCTCACGACCCGAGTCGTATAGTGTATAATTGTTGCTGTCTCATTCCTATACATATATATATACTTCCTTATAGCTCTTGGTGACAAAACTTTTATCATCATTGAAATACACTCCTATAAGGTACAGTTCGTAGTAACGTGGATTCCAGAAGACCACCTGTAGGTACTGATTGGCCTGCTGATAATATTCCGTGGTGATGTACAAAACAATTGTCCGGATAGCTTAGAACAATTACATTGTCAGTATGTCAAATAGAATCAAGCGACATACCCGAACCTCAACTTTGAACAATATCGTTTCCTTTAACGACATCATATTATATACAAAATTTATCGACATTTGATTACGAAACGTTAAGATCTGGCCCCACTTGTATAAAACATCTCAACTTGAGATTTCCTCAAGCCGAGATTTTCCTCAGCTGATATCTCCTCAAAAACGGCTTGTATAAAATTTTCTCAAGGAACAGGAGGAAGTCATCGGCTAGGATGTCCTGAAATTCCTTGAGGAATTTTCATACAAGATATTTTCAAGGAGATATCAGCTGAGGAAAATCTGGGCTTGAGGAAATCTCACGTTGAGATGTTTTATACAAGTGGGGCCTGATCTCTCTTTGAAAATGTTTACAATGCTGGAACCAAAATAATCAACACTGAAATAACCCCTTTTAAAACACATTGGTTTGATCGGCATTGTTAGAAATACTGCAACGAAGTACAAATCTAGCTGTCACTTAGTCTAGCCCCTGTCTCTAGAAATATAAGGTCTTTATAACTTGAAGCAGATAATCAAATGTAAGAATTTAGCTGATAAATTATTTACAAAAACTATCAGTTTATCTATAACTTAACATATTGAATAATAATTTTCTAAATGAATTTTAAAGTGAATTTTTACATGACAGAATTTGATTGTTGATGCTTAATACACCAAAAAGAATGTCATGCAGTTATCATTATCAACAGTGAGGATTTAGTGAGTACTTGAGAGACTTTGAAAGCACTACGGCATTTTTCCTAATTTTTCTCCAATATCAATATATAATGGAATACAAATTTGGGTCCGACAATAGTATAAGTAAGTTTAAATGATTAGGGTGAAACTGTATATATGTAAACAGAGATTAAAATATTATAATAATGGACGGAAATATTAATAATAATCTTTTTGATAGCCAAGATCACTTCACGATAAATCCTCCTCTCTTCTCATCAAACGACATCTTATTATGACAGATGGTATCAATTCCCTGGTGCAAATTTATCAAGAACATTGGTATGTCTTAGTCATTAGTCATAAACAGCATGGGTCGGAACGCGTGTATTGTGTATTAGCGTACTAGTATACAAGCGGAAACACCATTGATATTTGGGTCAGCGCGAACATCGACATAGGAAAACCAGACAGACAGTCAGTAATTTCACTCCACATTTGGTTTAGGTTAACGGTAGCGTGAATGCTACATGGGAATCTCACAAGTTAACGGTGAAAAAGATACCATATGACCCATTAAAATCTGCCCAGGTAAAATGCTTACCGTAGATTAGCGTAAATACTGATTATAAAATTATCATAGGTATGTATTTGACTTGTTCCGTCATATCGTCATACTAGATTCATTTTTAATAAAAGTTTGTAATGATTAATATTAAAAGATTATATTTAGTAACATATACAAATCAAAATATTCGTGACATGTCTAGTCTAATAACGCAGATGTACGCCACTACAGACTCGCATTTATAAACAACATTATACACAGGATACATGAAGCGTAACACACATTCTTAACAGGATCAAATCGATGGCGTAGTACTGCTGGCTACATATACATATATATATATATATACCTTATTTTGGATTCGCAGACACTATACTCCAATGTTACAATAATTTACACCACACAATTGGATATTCCTTCGTGGTTTCAGTTCAGATGACTAAATAACATGTCCGCCAACAGATAGATACATGTATCGGAAAATCCCACGGAAAACCCACTACTTAACAGGATACAAAAAGTCATATCTAATTCAAGAAACAACATATGGTGTTGTATTATGTCATCCGGAATACGTATTATTACAATGTAAAAATATTTCAGCGATGTACGTATAGCTTTAATCAATAGTCATTCAACGTAATTCAGTGTGTATGGTAATATATGTTACCTAATAATGCTTAGCATGTTTCTTTTTAGGGCTACAGATTACTGTATAACACCAAGGCTATATTTGATAATGACGACTGACATTAGTCACTACACTGATCAGGTGTTGATACGGTTTACTTCTTCTGGAGAAAAGAACTTAATGTCACTGTTATTAATAGAATCGCTGGTAGATTTCCGCCGCAGCAATAAAAAGAAAGGAAAAGAAAAAAATTAATATAATCATTATCTCATCGATTTCAGAATAACCGAAAGTTTGGTGTTTGATAACAATTCATTATTTTTGGAACTGAACTTCACAAAAGACACCTATATAGTTTTACGTCAACATGACGTATTTCTAAACTGAAACGAAACTGTTCCAGCAGAATCAGTCTTTGAGTCATACTGCATACTAAGAATATTATACTAAGACAAGAATATCATATTAAGATTAGAATATTATACTAAGATAAGAATATTATACTAAGACAAGAATATCATATTAAGATTAGAATATTATACTAAGATAAGAATGATATACTAAGATAAGAATATTATACTAAGATAAGAATGATATACTAAGATAAGAATGATATACTAAGATAAGAATATTATACTAAGATAAGAATATTATACTAAGATAAGAATATTATACTAAGATAAGAATATCATACTAAGATAAGAATATCATACTAAGATAAGAATATCATACTAAGATAAGAATATTATACTAAGATTAGAATATTATACGAAGATAAGAATATTATACTAAGATAAGAATATTATACTAAGATAAGAATATTATACTAAGATAAGAATATTATACTAAGATAAGAATATCAGACTTAGATAAGAATATCATACTAAGATAAGAATATTATACTAAGATAAGAATATTATACTAAGATAAGAATATTATACTAAGATAAGAATATTATACTAAGATAAGAATATCATACTAAGATAAGAATATCATACTAAGATAAGAATATCAGACTTAGATAAGAATAATATAGTAGGAAGAGTTCTTTACAACAGTACGATACATCTTGTATAAGTAGATAACATTTACGGGTAATGTCCTGGAGGACAGAAGGACACCCCTCCATGGAGGACAGGAAGACACCCCTCCGTGGAGGACAATCAAAGGGAAGGAACTCCCTCCTTCTATATACAGTCTATACGTCCTCCCAGATGAAGCGGACATTGACGAATTGACATTGTGAAATTGTGAAAAATTTAATTTCACTAACACTTTATATAAGCTGTAGAAGGGTGGACGTATAGACTGTATATATAGAAGGAGGGCGTAACCATCTGTAACCACCTACGATTTTACACCACTTACTTGAACATAGGCCAGAACACCACTTACGATTAAACAATGGCCAGAACACTTCTTACGATTAAACAATGTCAAGAACACCACTTACGATTTAACACTGGCCAGAACACCACTTACGATTAAACAATGGCCAGAACACTTCTTACGATTTAACACTGGCCGGAACATCACTTACGATTATTCAATGTCCAGAACACTTCTTACGATTAAACAATGTCCAGAACACCACTTACGATTAAACAATGTCCAGAACACCACTTACGTTTTAACACTGGCCAGAACACCACTTACGATTAAACAATGGCCAGAAACACCACTTACGATTATTCAATGTCCAGAACACTTCTTACGATTATTCAATGTCCAGAACACTTCTTACGATTAAACAATGTCCAGAACACCACTTACGATTAAACAATGTCCAGAACACCCACGATTAAACAATTTTAACACTTACGTTTTAACACTGGCCAGAACACCACTTACGATTAAACAATGGCCAGAAACACCACTTACGATTATTCAATGTCCAGAACACTTCTTACGATTAAACAATGACCAGAACACCGCTTACGATTAAACAATGGCCAGAACATCACTTACGATTATTCAATGTCCAGAACACTTCTTACGATTAAACAATGTCCAGAACACCACTTACGATTAAACAATGTCCAGAACACCACTTACGTTTTTACACTGGCCAGAACACCACTTACAATTTAACACTGGCCGGAACACCACTCTTGATTGAAAACGGACAATGTGCTTGCAGAATCACTAAAATATCATTAAGATAGATTTAAGAGTGATCAGAGGTGTTCAGCTGAAATAAACAGACTGCCAAAATGCACTTGCCAGGAATGTTAACAAAACATCATTATATTTCCTGACGTTTGTATTTATTAACCCAGCAATGTCAAGCATGCACTTAAGACAACGGACACTTTTTGTACATCTTTTGTAAGGTCTTACATGAAATACGCACCAATTATTCTTAGTCACTGATGTTATACCAGACAAAATAAGCAATAAAGGCTACAGGAGTATTATCATTATTTTCAGAATATTTCACACAGCGGCAAAATTATTGATAGCTCTCGTCTGTCATGACATTTTCATCAAAATTAAACGACAGTTTAGTAAGTTACTGTGGAATCCGAAATCCAAAATAAAGACCGACATCCTCTCTAAAGACGAAGGGTCACATGAAAATCTCACTGGTAAAACTTAAAGAGATTTTCGCAACTTACTAGTAAGTGGACGCTGGATCAAAGATTTCCCGTTAATGGCCGGGTTTCAATTCGACATCATAATCAGTTGTTTCAGTTTCATGGATGTAAATATTTGATAACACACTTATACAAAAAGAAAGATTCAAAGATTAAACACTGACAAAGCGTACAAAAGTTTGGATATATATCTGATCATTGGCAACACAGACCCTGCAGTTAAACAGGCTCTGTTGATATTGCATCTATACAATGTCTACTGGAAACAGTGAAAACAAAATTTATTATAGTAAGTTTTTCTCTGTAAAGTTTAAAACTTACGAATTCATACCTCATTTACGAATGGCACACAATAGCCTTACATGACCTGTCGTGGGCGAAGTTGCACTGCCATACTGGTTTCATATACACTCCCAAAATAATAACAAGCAATTAATTTTTTCCTGCGTGGACAGTTGATGTAGGCTGTTGGCAGCTCGATTTAAAGGGACGAGTTATTGGATTTTTTAAAAACAACTTACAAACAATTTTGTAAACATAATTCAATTTCAGTTTACACCGAAATTATTGAAAAGGTCACTATTTTCTTGACATTTTGATGTGATAGAGGAGATCCATTTCCGTCTGGCTAAAATATTATTCTGTGTCGATAACAAAATACTTTCACTTTCACCTATCAAAACCTGCTCAGACCAGACCTTCAAACACTGGTTAGAACATGTATCAGTCATCGGCGCAGACAAGTGAAATATCTGCTCTTCAATTAACACGTGTATATCGTATTTGTGGTATTGGATACAACGTCCTATAGAGTGAATCCGCTGATAGATTGCCTCTAGCTTACAGAGAGATTCTTTAATGTGTATAGGTTTCTCAAATCCACACGTGACATACTAGAACTAGAATGTATTAATGCATTACTAAAAAGCTATATATAATTGAAACATTTATCTCCCAAAGTTACTTCCTTTCATAAGATTTATGACCGACGGGATGGGAGAAATACACAATGCCTTCAGCACGTTTCTAAAATTTTCATCGGCTTCTCCAAAATATTTGCAAAGTTCAGTGGACATCAAAACAACTCTTCCCAATTTGCAACTCTTCAAACGTTAATTGGGTGTGCTACAGTTCAGAACCTTGACTGAATTACATGTATGTTAGTAATATCATATATATGTCATTTTAAGGGCTGATTGTAAATCTAGCGGTGTTCTCATATCTATTGAAATCCTGTTTGATCAGTTTGCCCTAAAATAGTCATTAGGTGATCCGGACATTTTATCCTGAGAATACGGTGAGTATTTGATCTATCTTGTTTTTCCTACAGATAAAATACCTTATAAAGTTGGCAACGAGTATCAAAAGTGTAATGTGAAACATGATCAAGGACATATAGTTATACACATAAACTAACTAAAGTAATAATAGTAATAATACAATGATATAAATAATTGGATTCTTACAACACATATAACCCCGTAAATAACACCTGATTGTATGAAATATCAGGATACCATTAACATCATTTTTCTGGAGATATTGAAAAAATCAGGCACACATACCGAAAACTAGGCATTATTTCTAATGTTGTCTTTGTGGGAGATTGATATCCACGTTCCTAACAAATTTAACAAAACGTTTGTACTCACTTGATAGAGCCGAATATGTAAGTGTCCTCCTTTCTTGAACTTTACAGGGAAATGGCGTTTAAGTTGAAGTAAACGAAATCAGCCATATAATTTTTTCGGGTATAATTTGTGTTACATTTTCACACTTTAAACCTGTCTTTTCTAGTAAAAATATCCAGGAAACGTTAATGATAAAGCTGGTACTGCTCTCGTAAACTTAAAGTCTTGTAACTTGTCAAAGTAACTATGAATTATATTTGATAAGGAGAATATATACCTAATAACAACCGGTAACATTTCTGTTTACTTCCTGGTCAAAGCAGTGTCATCAATGTCTTTTCCGTGTTGCATCAAGTTTACCTGTGTCAAACATACAGAATATGGGGGAAACAAACAGAAACGTTAGCATCGTTTGTTGTTTTCAATATTATAAAATCTGCAGTGAATAGGATTAAACGTGACTGCCATTGAAACAAAAAATCATTAAGATTAGTTTTAAAAAGTATCATTCCTATAAAATTCAAAATATTAGCATTGTACCGTTAAAGAGCGCTAGATCTGATACATGTAGTTGGCAGGGATATTTAGATACATCCGGGAGGTGTTATCACGTTGTCATTTACTTCTTGATAGACACGTGAGGATAAAGGCACGTCGACCTGGAGATTCCGTCCTTTGAACATTTTTGTCTTCATTAGAATGCCGTTCAAATACGGATGTGAAATGAGAATTGTTATATAAACAAGTTAACGGTGTATTTCGATAAAATGTCGATAAACCGTACAGGTGAACAGTCGACAGGATGCTTTTGTAGATAAACACTATCTGTATAGTTATATAATATAACGTTTGCATTTATATATATTGAACAGGTTTCACCGCTAATTGATATATAATATACGGTTTCAAAAACAAGAACATACCGACACGCTTTCAAAATTGATAAATTCAATATCAAGAAAACGAGGGCAGAATATAAAAAAGAAACTATGAAATAAGATGTGGATGTTGCTCATTATTTTGCTTTGTGGTTTCGGAGTTCTTGACATTGCTCTCATTTCAGACCTCGACATTCTTTGACTTGACCGAGATCTTCATAACGGATTTCATCCACGATGACGAAGACGCTTATCCTTCTGGGTTGCCTGGTTTACACTATGTGTTCGTTTTCTTTCTTTTGTGCCGATCTTGTCCAAGTTTAATCGAAGGTGAGCTTGAATTGAGAAATGTCGATATTCTTTGTGTTCCTTTCGAAGAGTTTGGGAAACAAATATTGTTATCTAAAAGAGACAGCCACAGGGTAATGCCAGTAATTTGCTGGAAAATTCCAATATCAAACTTATTCTATTTCATCCTAATACTTATATTTATTAATGGCACTATACGTACCTTTCCCGAAATGTACTTCAGTATAATTCACAACTTTCTTCTTGTACTGTCGATAACCTTTCTGTGAAAAAAACTTTAATAAAGTAATGAAATCTGCCTAAATATGAGGTCATTCAAAAGCTCATTGGATGTGTTAATAATCAACATATCATCGTTTCCATGTCTTTAACATCCTCGACACTCCAGGGGTTACAATGACTTAAGCTCTCTGCACACCTGGAACATGTCAGGGCAAAATTAATAGTTCCATGTGCGACACCTTGTGGACAAGACGAAAAGACTAGTATGATTTTTTATACACATCAAACGAATCTCGAGATCGCATACATTGTTATAGCTTTGAAGTTGGGTAATATTCGAAAGGAGCGTGTCAGCCTGTGATTGGTCAGTTTTTTCTCCTGTAACCAATAAGATTACTTCACTTGTGCCTTCAGTTTTTCCATGACAGGTTCAAGGGGTGCAATGAGCGAAAGTGATCGTAACTCCTGGAGTATCGAGGAATCGTCTAGAGTAAACATGATAAGACCCAGATTTGATAATGCTAAGAATGACAGTCAAAATATTGGATGGTGTTTGGATTCAACATCATACGTATTCTTGTGGAGTACAGGAAACCCTTATCTTTAAAATTGGCAATCTGAATGACCATTGTATTTCTGTATTAGAAGTATGATGGAATGATTCCTGACACCACGTTTTCCATAACTGTCATTTTAAAGAAGACAGTGTCATAAAATGAAAATACACCGATAATTTATCGTGATTAAATTGATTTGAAAATGACATAGCGCTATATGGGAGGCTTTCTGATGACTTCAAACGACGGCAAAGATTAAATTCTGGATTTGGGACGCTGTTCTTGGTTTCAGGAACTATTGGTCGAACGGTGTCTTCCCACTCCCATCATGGTCGAAATGGTTCCAGTGCTGTCGGTCACCGCCTTCTACCCAGGTTTCTATAACATCGTCTGTGAAGTTGGTCACATTCTGACTTGCATCATCATTGTCCTCCAAGGCCTGGAACCATACGTCCTCAACATCGCCCAGTGGAACCAAGGGTAAAAGAAAAGCAAACACTAATGGAAACACACTGTTCTCCGCATATCCATGGATGGAATACAACTGACAGAAAAGTCCCGGGCAGGAATAGAATGTCCCATCTCCAAACGTTGTGGATGATTCAGCTATTCTTTGGAGGTTGCTGTCTGTCCCAAACACTATGATCCTCTCTCCCATGGCGTTGGTATCATGACACATAAGGAAGCGGTCCCCGGATGATGTCCCCTTCCATCTTCCTTGTAGCTCTATATCTCCCTGGGTTGCTGGAAGCTTAGGCATGACCTTCGACCGGTTCGGTATAAGGAGGATTTACAACTGTTGAAAGCTGGAATATTCTGAATCATTTCCTCAACATCAGCATCAAAATCCCTGTCGTAAAGATTTCCAAGTTCCTCATCAGACACAAAGGGCATTGGCTCAGTCTCCTCATGGAATCTCTTCTTCACGTTGTTAAGGAAGGCAAAAGCAGCAAGACCAATGGTATCTCCAGGATGGTTATAATTGTTCGTAAAATTCACAGGGATGTTGTTCACAATTATCACTGTCGCTGGACATTGGCGATCAACACATCTCCAATAACATCTATCATTTCGCCTTGTCCTCACTGAATACTTGAATCCGTCTTGAACTAAATAGTATCTACCCCTACCATTTTCATGGAAGTCTACTCTAATCTGTACATATGCAATGGCATAAAGATAGCTAGTTGTTTACAGCATAAATGTCAAACAGTTTATAACTCTACCAGAAAAAAAATGATATGAAAAAAAATCATTGGTACAAATTTCATAATTACATGTATAATAATTAATTGTTTTTTATTGACAACAAAAAGGTTTTAAAAACCGTAATCAATGTTTTGATAAACTGTTATGATTGCATTAGTAAACTATATCTAGTTGTTTATAAAAGACAAGTATTTATTTTGATTGAAACAACACATTGAGATGCCAATATAAATGATATAATTAATTAAACTTTCATGAATATATATTTTGAACTTTGTCTCTATAATGACAAATATGTAAATATATTTTAAAAAAAGTTATTTCTACTTCCTTATCTTTACTTTATATATATATATATTAAATTTCATTCTGAGTTTAACAGGTAATTTGATTCGCTCATAAATACTGAAATAGACTATAGCCAACTTTGTCCAGGTAAATACAGGTAACTACAGGTAATGCTTTTTTAAGATGTTGGCCGAGTGTGAATGAATCGGTCGAACTCAAGTACACATGTACTTTGTCGTTTGAACTCTTCTCAGTTACATACATAATACATATTTCTAGATATCATGGATCATTTAAACCCTAATCCACCACAGAAATATAATTTCATTTGATCCATCATACATAAAATTTTGCGGACAATCATTTTAATTGATGACTAGTAGAACCGTAAGGTCCGAAACCCATATCTTAAATGTGTTACAAAGATAAAATGTCCGTGCGAGCGATGGTATGAGGTCATTAGGCGGTGTTCATATCACTTCAGCTATCACGGGGTCAAATATCTTGTAATCAAAACAATGAATTAATTATAGCTTCATTTAACAGTATCTTAGAAGTTATTTGGACATACTAGTTTCCAAGACAGACGGACGGAGGACAGACACTGAAACCCTGCAGAATGTAAAGAATGCGATATGTTTGGTAATTTACCCTGTATACCTGGCCACTTTATTGATACATTCAGGTCCTGTACTTTTCAGTTCTACATTACTAATTCATTACCATGTGTGATTTATTCATTAAGTCAACAATGTTGGTATCAGGTGAGAATACCGGTCATTCCAATATAACTAGTATTTCCCTTATAATTTACAAGAGATTCGAAGTCCGAATGTCTTCACACAAAAATAAACAGACTAAAATAGATAGAAACAAAGACATTAGGAAGTTCAATCTCATTTATTGCACATAATTTTAACATAATAATTGATGTATAAGCACCAGAACCTGGCTCGTTAGAACTGCCCATTCAAGTCTTTTCTGAACTCCTGCAATTTCTAGCACTATGTAATGTACACTCCAGTAATACAGTATGTGGAATGTGATTTCTATGCTGATATTTACAACCATACCCCAATAAAGAAAGATTGAAGCCCATGTCTTTGTCGACATTTCTCTAAAAAAACAGAGTTCTATTTACTAAGAACTATGGTATGGTTTCCCTTGTAGTTTTAAGGCTATCCTCTGTCGTATCAATTGTTTCCTTTCGGATTTTAACACTGGAAAACTAGTAGGGTAAGCTGAACCTTTCCAAAGGAATAGATTTAATTTTCACTGCATTTACACTGATACACTGATAACAAGATACTAGCTGATACAAGTGCAAGACATAAGATGCTGGATTGATACAAGTAGGACATAAGATGGAGGATTGGTACAAGGGTAGGACATAAGATGGAGGATTAGTACTGGGTTTGGGCATAAGAATACCTTATCGTTTGAACTGTGTGAAATAATAACACTTTTTGCTAAATACATATGTATGTATTTCGTAGAGAAATTATTTGAAGGGAAACATTCAAAAAGATCTGTGGGATGTGATAAGATGGGGTAGTACCAATTATATATAATCATGTTTCCCTTCAAACCAAATTATTTCTCATGCAATAAAATCGAAAAATATTTTTAACATTTCAATGATGAGGATGACAGCAGCTGGAAAGTTGGAGATACTCTGTGGGTATATCAATTGATACAAAAATCAATTAATTTCAAAGGAACATTTTTTATATATATGTTTGATATATATTTATATATATATATTTTATTGTTCTTTACAATCACTACAACACAACCACTCCAACACTTTCTCACATTCACAATGGTGATTCTCTGTCTCTAAAATCTCGTTAACTTTATTGGGAAATTCTCTGTCACAAGATGGTCATCATGGAATACAATCACAATGTTAATTTCAAATTCTGAAACAAAAAAAAAACAACCATTAATTATTTTTAATAATTTTTAAATGAAATAATGCCATACAATTGTTAACAACAAAACTTAAGGAAAACAACACAAACAAGAAAACTAAACAAGAAACATGTTACATTCTGGTAAAAAAACAAACATTGACCTGCAGGTAAACAAAACAACATGCAGGTAAAAAATTAAACATTAATACACAGGTAAACAATACAGGTAAGATTGTCAAACAAGCAAACTACCCAATAAATCTTAAAAAATGATACAAACAAGAAAATGAAACAAGTACAAAAATTATCTGAAAAGAAAAATTGAAGCAGAAATGTTTCCAGGGCTCTCGATCTGCCAGATTTGGGGCCGAATCCCCATTCCCAATGCAAAATAGTATCTTTTTTCCCAATTAAGACCCGAAGTTTTCCCAATTCTAAGGAAAACACTATTATTTTTCCCAATTCTAAGGGCCCCGGACCCCAGTCCAAAAAATGGGATGTGAGAGCACTGGCTTTAGATGCACATGTTCCAAAACCGAGAGAAGCCTGCCAAGAAATGTCCACAAGAAGAAAGTTCTCCAACAACCAACATCTTACCTATCATTAGCTAGAATGTAATCTGTAACAGTTAGTGTCTGGATACTCGGATGAAGGTAACTGTGATAATAATGTGGTACAGTAAAGCCTCAGAAACGTTGGATTCCTCTCAATTTTCTGAATATAAAGTTTGACAGTAACTAGTACACCTGATATACGTACCGACTTTAAAATTGTTTGTAGAGAGTGTAGGACAGGTAAAGAGTCTGGGAAAGACCATGTGAATTGGGATAGGTATACCGCGACACACATCCCCATCAGCTATCTGTATGTTTTGTATCTCTGTTGCTAAAACAGCAAAAACACAAACATCACTTGTATATTACATATTTGTTTATGAAGGGAAAATTGAACTCTTTAAACTTAACACAGAAACACTGTTCCATTTTATTTCATAGACTTTTTCATAATACATCATAAAATTAAACATTAGGCATTATACAATATGCTTCAAATTTATTGGTTTTTTGTTTGTTTGTTTGGATATACAATATGCTTCAAATCTATTGATTTTTTGTTTGTTTGTTTGGATGATTTTTTTTTTTTCAATATTCAAAAAAATGAAATAGCCTTACCATCTTTGGCGTATCCTTCTGCACAACCACAGGTCTCCACTCGTACCAGCTGTATCTCTATAGATTTAATCTGCGACTCACAGCTGTCAACCATCAACTGTCAACAGAAAAAAAAAAAACAATTTACATATGAGTTTAGATGGGATAAGGTGGATAGCTTTTCATATACCTGTTTCAACCTGTTTCGTTTCATGACAAAAAAATATAAAAAATTATTTACATCTCTCACTCTTTTTCATATAATCCATGAAATAAATTGTGATGGAAGGGGAGATAATCCTTTTTCAGGCAATACACAAACTAGAGACAAAATGTGACATGACATACTTACCTCCCCTCTTAGTGGTGTTGTAATACACAAAGTTGATGACTCTAGTTTCCCTCGCACTTTGAACTTTGGGACATTTTGTTTCTGAAACAAAGTCACTAATTAAAAAAAAAAAGTATTTGTTTTGCATCCATGACAACAGATCTTTATATCATCACATCCCTAGATACTGTCATCATTAAGTTGCAACAATTTTCACTTTCCAACAAAATAAATATAAGTACAGTACATTTGTATTTGACATTATACTTCCACAGAATAAATGTTCTTATCACTTTTTTTGAAAATATAAATGAACGGATTGGAAGGAAATTTCGGAAATTATGCACAAGTATAAATGATCTTAATTAAAAACTTACCTCTTTAATATTGGTCAGTGTGTCTGGTGTTATTGTAAAGTTTACTGGCTTTAACTTGGGTTTTTCGTCTTGATTCTGAAATAAACACATTGACAACAAACTACACAATCAATGTGTCTAAAGTCTTTCATGGTTTTCAACTCATGAATTTTTCAAATTGAATATTTAACAGAAGAGATATTTTATCAGAATCGTTCCCCTGCATCAGTTATATAATGACATAGTAACAAGCCTTGTCGAAATAACATTATTACTATCCATTGTTACTTTCAGATAATGAAATTCAAGAAAGAGAAAATAAAAAATTTGCATAGAAAACTTGTGATTTACAGGGAAAAACATCGAAATAATCCACTCACATGTGATTAATTTCATCATCATCATATTCCGACATGATCTTGTTTTAATAACTCTTTGTTAAAAAGAAAACATGAATCCACTAGAACATTATACAACTATACAGTTATTCTGAAAAGGACCATGTATTACATGAAAAATTGTACAAACTTAATATTAAGCAATGTGCTATTTCAAAAATCAAACTTTTAAAATCTGAGGAGAGCATCTTGTGGCCTCTGGGCTGTGTGTAATCCTCGTTAAGAAAATCATATATTAAGTTAACTTTGAAATTTAAAATGCATATGTCAGATATTATACCCACTATATCAGGTGAAATAAGTGAACTGCTGGAGGAACTTTACCTTATATTCCACAATGAATTCACATATTTTCTGTAAGTCTTTGCTTAGTAAGGACCTTTTCATATCTACTTTGAGTGTATACTGAAAGGAAACAAATGGTATTACAAGAAAACAAAATGCTATCATATTATGTATAAATCAAATAACATGTACATGGTCAAGAACGAAGTTGAGCAACACAACAAAACAAAGAATGTGTGAAATACAAAGAATGCCTCCAGTCAGTTTAATCTAGTGTATTACAATAAATATCCAACACTTACGTCTTGCCATATAGAGTTACTTGTAATCAATCTGCTAAATTTTTGAAAGCATCTCATCTGCTGAGAGGTTAAAAGGCAATATAAGTGAATATTAAGCCCATTAAATAAGTTAATCATCAGTTTCTGTCGTTGAGATCTAAAGTCCTAAATACTCAGGACCTGGCCACCTTCCATTTTATACTTAATTATCCAGTTTACGAATTTCAACCACCATACCTGTATGTTAACAAAAACTCCATGATAAGTTTCATATAAGGTTTTATTTCCCTTTGGTTTCAGTGGAATCTCAAAAGGTATCTCTGTTTTTCCTGATGGAAGCCGGCCTGGCTTGGCTATCTCTAGTGTGTAATTCACCAACTGTATTGGCTGAAGGTTAAAGAAGAACCAAATTATATGATAATTACCTTGTTGTTGATGTCAACATACATAACATATTCATCAAATATATATATACATAAGCTTGAGATTATTTTTTGTGGAGAAATATTTTGATAATAGTTTTATCATGTATTATCATTCATGCATGATGAACATGGAAAATATGTTTCATCTTATAATTACCTTTTTCTGAAACAAAAACTAACCTGTTAAAATCAACATCTTCTGTAGATATCAGTCTGTTATTTATAATTTTCTGATTCTTGTTAATCAATTTCTCACACTATTTATCTATAAAACAAATATATAAGAACAAATGTGTTTCTTTCCTTATGGAGAAATATCTGGGTAATCGGACGGTTTACCTTGAGTGAGTTGTAGAAGGCTTCAAACAGACCCACACTTTTGGCACTGAGCTGAAGGGTAACAGCTCCCTCCATGGCAAGGAGGATGCCCTGGTGTTGTAGATCTCCTTTACTTTCTACCACTACCACCCCTGACACAAGGTCCTGAAACAAAAAGTCATACTTCTAAACATATGTCTGTCGAAGATTCTTATATGCTTGAGGAGGAAATGTCTAACATTCCTGCTTCTAAAATGAGTGCAGATAAGTATTTGCTGCGAATGCAATGACACAAACATCCAGTAACACATCACCAGTTCAATTAGTTTCGAAAGCATAATCTCAATAAAAATCTATGTTAACGGACACTATGATTATAAATTCTGCTAGAGTTATGCCCCTTGTACATATTTAAACGTACTTATTGTCTGTGTGTTTGATGTGTAGGCCTTCTGGTCTTTAGACGAATTTATCTTATCATGTTTGTTAGCATGAACTGCAGGATAATACTGTAACATCTCAGCTTTTTAATAAAGTAAAGAGTTAAGTTGACAATAGCATAAAGGGGTGTGGATCAACATATGAACCGTGTAAAACGAGGCATGTGATTAAAAACCAATTAGAATGCAACGCCCTTTTTAATTTCCATGAGAATACGCCATGTGCATCAATGAATCTGTATGTGATGACAAACTTACCCCCTCTTTATAAACTTTGTTGATTTTCTTCAATCGCAAGTCCAACGCCATTTTGACAGGTCATGTGACATGTGTACAAAAACATCCCTTATGTCATTTAAAATTAATCTTGTCATTTCTTTTGAATGATATAATGGACTTGCTATCGTCAATATTTACAGTTTTTTAAGTTTCATAATGAAATATTAGTTGTTTGAATATCCTTCAATTCAAATGAAATACAATATTATTGACTGAAAGTAACAAAAAAATTGATAACTTTTAATATGGGTATTTCAATTTAGGGAGGTGAAAAGAACAGCCGTTACTAATATACGTCGCTAAGGGCTTTTCGCCGGTGGTTACGACTAACCAGTCTGCTTCTGTGTGGCTATATCCGTATTATGTACATATGTCGGACGATTGTTTACCGATAAGACGAGGGCAAGATTTTTAAACTGATGCATGGAAAGTATGTAGTGCTTTTTTATATCATCACCGGAATAGCATCGTAGATTAGCTGACATTTAGTGACTAATTAGCACGCGCCAATTTAGATTTTATTTGAGCAACCATGGATGTGCAGCAGATATTAGCTGAGCATTTTCCTGATGATGTCTCCGTCACTGACCTCTGCGATTGTGGGTAAGTAAAACAGCAATCTACCTCACAATAGTGTCCTGACATATGGATTTATTGTTATGAAAATGAAGAAACAATATTACCTGTGTATGCCGTGAATGTGTGGTTGGTGGTTGGGGAATGGAGGGCAAACTATGATACCCCTTTGTAATATGTACCCCAATGAACAGTTGACTGTGACCCTCGTCAGTTTAAAAAGTTGTGAATGTGCATCATAGTAGTGACTGAGTCACATCGTGTAGGGTTGTACATGTACGCATGTTTTTATTCTAAAAAGGGAAACTGCTTCTGAAAACGTTTGAGAGATGACATAGACTAGATGATTCTCTTCATCTTATCTGCATGTCATCAATTAGCAGGTTTACCTTCTCTTTCACCTTCTGATTACATATTGGTGTCCTCCTTTATACCTGTCCCTGACACCTACAGCCCTCCAGTCCACATACACTGTCTCTATCCCTCCTTTACTATATCTGTCCCTGACACCTACAGCCCTCCAGTCCACATACACTGTCTCTATGTCCCTCCTTTACTATATCTGTCCCTGACACATACAGCCCTCCAGTCCACATACCCTGTCTGTATGTCCCTCCTTTACTATATCTGTCCCTGACACCTACAGCCCTCCAGTCCACATACACTGTCTCTATGTCCCTCCTTTACTATATCTGTCCCTGACACCTACAGCCCTCCAGTCCACATACACTGTCTCTATGTCCCTCCTTTACTATATCTGTCCCTGACACCTACAGCCCTCCAGTCCACATACCCTGTCTGTATGTCCCTCCTTTACTATATCTGTCCCTGACACCTACAGCCCTCCAGTCCACATACCCTGTCTGTATGTCCCTCCTTTACTATATCTGTCCCTGACACCTACAGCCCTTCATTCCACATACCCTGTCTGTATGTCCCTCCTTTACTATATCTGTCCCTGACACTTACAGTCCTCCAGTCCACATACACTGTCTCTATGTCCCTCCTTTACTATATCTGTCCCTGACACCTATAGTCCTCCATTCCACATACCCTGTCTCTATCCCTCCTTTACTATATCTGTCCCTGACACCTGCAGCCCTCCAGACCACATTTCCTGTCTGTATGTCCCTCCTTTACTATATCTGTCCCTGACACCTGCAGCCCTCCAGACCACCCTTTTGTTATCAGACTTGACACATTACATCTTCATACCAAACTTAATTTGAAGCAGTAAGACCAAATTCTTACTACATCACTGTAAATGTGTACTATCAATCACTGAATATCAGCTACATTTCCTTGTGGAGTTTAACTTACAGTATAATTGATTTTTTAACAATAAATCTGTTAGAGCTACAACAAACAGGGAATCACTTGAAATGTTTGAACAATTTCAGAAAGAGCAAAGAACGCTTTAAATTTAAATCTCCTTTTGAAAATGCTAATGAAAGGTTCCACAGAGTTCAGATAGAACTCACTTCAATTATAATTCATATCTATATAGTTTGCTATGAATTTACACACTAGTAATTTGAATTAAAAATTCACAGGCCGTTGGTTTCTGATGGGCTCTTAATTGCTTTATTCAGTCATGATAAAAGCGTGACAAACATTTGGCTAAGAACCTTCGCTATGACATCAATCTATTTCCTATTTTATATTGGTAAAATACTTGTTTATGCAAACATGTCACACCATGCCTGCCTGACCGTTTCAGGACATTGTTGACTTTCAAACTGATTTAAGCCATTACCGTATACATGATATCGATAGGAACATATTGAATTTTAATATTCCAGAGATGCTCAAATGATCTTTTGTATCTTTTTTTTTTAGTTTTAAAACATATTTGAGGTCATTTACACATAAAGCCAACAAGAGCTAATACCTATATCATAAAAGTCTTTGTTATTAACAAATTAATGTTGGGGTATTACACACAGGTCTCTACAAATTTGACATCTTACAGTATCATTAATCAGTTTTGTTAATTAAGAGATTTTTGGTCCTTACAACCATAAAAGGTTTGATATAAAAGGTCCCAGGGATGATAGGAATGATTTACAGTGCTTTTGTAGTGCCATCACTCTGAAATATCATTTATGGTTACATTTCTTACCTGGTATTTACTGTAGATCAAACATTTACTGTGTTTGTATGGTTTATGAATATAAACCATTATCTACACAACTATACATTTTTGTGCCACCACTTAACCAATGGACCGTGGCTTTGGAATTCATTTGACTTGCACTTTTTTCAATTTAACTTCCAAGAAAAATGATTCAGTATTTTCCGATGTTCATTTTTTCTATTGTATTGCTGAAATAGAACAGATTAGAACTACACTCATGCATTATTTTATAAGTCTATTATAACCCACACTAGTCCAGCTTTGGTGAACAGAGCAATTAATGAAAATTTTCTATGCTTTATTTCAGGCATCATAAGAGACGACATCCAAGAAATCCTATGCCAGGAAGAATCAAGAGAGTTCAATTTCCTGAAACCGATTACCAGTCAACTTTCAAGGCTGCCAAACAGCCCCGCCCACGTTCTTCAAAGAGACCACCAGCATCCCCAGGTGGTGTAAATGAAGTACTAAACAAGCCAATCAGAATGGTGTTTGACACAAATCAGCGAGACGACTTTAAGGATCCACAAGTCAAAGAACGTACAATGGCAATCGTTCCGGTAAGTGATTTTACTACTGTAAAAAGAAATTTGGGGGAAATGTTTATTTCCTTAATATTCTAAATACACTTTCCTTGCTAATAACTGCACATTTCTTATCTAAAATTGTTAATTTACTTAAACTTAGATCCAATATACCCTAAAGATGTATGTCAATTTATGCCACTTTTTTATCAAATTCTTGTAATTTTTAATGTTTTTATAAAACATTAGCATAGTACATGTGGGAAAATTATTTGTAAACTTATGGAGATCTCCAGTAGTTTTTAAACAAATCTTCTTACGATCTTGGAAAACTTTATCAACATACACAACTTCAGTTGTGTTTTCCTGGACATCTTTAAGATTTGCCTGTTTTTTGAAGAGTAACATCCCCTTGTTATTTTCTTTACCTAAATCTTAGTTTCCTTTATCTTTTTTTATCATTTTTAACCCACCATTATCAAATGGTTACAGGTCATTCGAATCATTGCATGTCTGTGGTCCATCTGTCCATCTGTTGTCTGTCCGTTTTAAATCAACATCATAATTATTCAATACTTACAGGATAAAAACACTGTTAGATCATGCATGTGATACTTGTCATTATAGAACAGAATTTTGCGAAATGTATCAATTAAGTCTGATTAGTTCCTATAGTCTTGTTTTTAAAAGATGTTGTTTGAAGTCTGAACTTTCAATGAATCCTTGAATTAGAGTTAAGACAGGGATGAAGGGGATGTTAAACACACTGTAAATTCTAACTGACCGTTGGTAGATAGGCAGTGTAGACTCCAAATCATTGGATGTTATTTATGGACATATATTTGTGAAATGGTAATGAAATTGCAACAGATCTTAGTAATTTGAATTCAGTAAATGTTGGGTTTTTATGATTAACTCTTAATTTCATTTGAATATAAAAGTTCTGAAATTCTAAGTCAATATATTATACACTGTTGAAGGACGTAAACTATGAGGCGTTGGATGTCCCTATGGAAGGGCAAACCTCCTATTCAGCCGAATTCATCAAAAAACCACTTCCCAAGGAATTCCGAGGGATGGAACCAGCTAGTAATTATGTCAGTTCATCTGCGAGGTTTGATGACAACACGACTAATAAGGATCACTTTAAGAAATGGGTCCGACAACCAACAATAACATTCGGAGAACTACCAAGCTTCACAGGTAGGTTTTGTTGTCTTGTATCTTAAATCAATCTTAACTCCATTATATCACAGTTGATTTCAATATCAATTAGTTACTTACATAATAGAGTTTAATTATTCAAAGATGTTCCTGAATCTTATGTTGTCGCCTGTGATTTGTATCAACTTAGTGACAATATTTCGGTTCCAGGATCTATATTGTTCCCAAACAATAAAAACAAACAGCGAAACCAGAACAAGAGTGAGACACGAGAGGAATTTAAAGGAGCATTTCAGAGGAGGCCGGACGCTGTCCGACTGGATGAGGCTAACATTAAAATGGAAGGTAAACTAATTAATATAAAATATTTCAAAGATTTCCCTCCAAGAAAAATCCAGTAACCAACTGAGCCAGTCCCTCCAATTAATCCATTTTTGGTGATATCATTATTAAGTAAATCAATTATTTTTAGTAATTTCACATTCATTTATCTTTCTAACTTTTATTTGATATAAAGACATCTGATAACTAACTTTCATAAATTTTTCACAGATAAAATTGTTTTATGTATATTAATTATTTATCATAATGTTTACTATTGACAGCTTTCAGGGATGATTTTGATATTACAGAAGTATGTAGTGCTGTATATAGGAACATTTTTTTAGAAAATCAGAAATTAGAACTGTCCTGACTGATCTGTTGTGTATAGTCAAGCTCATTTACCTGTAATTATAATAATGACACTGTAGAGTGTTATTTTATATGTGAATTTTAGGGGAAAACAGTTTTCTAAGATCTACAGTGAGTATAATAGTTGAGCACCAGCATGTTGTTAAATTTTGACAAAATCTGCCAGACTGACTAATTTTGAGTAAAATTGAAAACTTAAGTGAAGAATCCATTTGTAGGAGGTCAGATAGTTCAAATTCTACATATATAGTCTATATTCTATTGTCATTTTTTATCAGAAAAATTTAGATTAGAAACTTTTGGATAAATGATCTGCACCACTGATTTATCACATTGCTTTTGTTGATTCTAGAAATGTTGTTGTTGATAGGTATATCACACATGTAAACAGGATTTATATTTCTCATAATTTTCATGTTCTTTATCTACCTTTATTTAGATGATGGAAACTCAGTGCTATCTGCTATTCATAATTGCATGTTTGAATTTCTCCATGATTAAGATACACTTTAATGTACGGCTGTCTTTGTGTTTACTGTATCGTTGTCTGAGCATGTTTTAGCTTACACAAAACAAACACTGCTTCCTATGAGACCCAATATCACTGAAGATATTTTACTAGTATGTAGTGTCATGGTATCAGACTGAAATAAATTGAAATTGATCAGAATAAATTAAAAAGATCAACTTAAAGACAAAAAAAAAAAAAAAAAATAGAAAAATAATAAATATGCACATTTGTTAGGATCACCTTGTTTTTATTTAGAACTTATCATTCATATGTATTATATTTTATAACTACCCAGCTGGATCTGGCTTGAGTATCATATGAGTGAAGAGTCTTTTTGTCAGTAACCATCAAAATTCTTCAGTATGATAATGGCTATGTACATTTGGAGATCTAGTAATGAAAAAATGAGCTTTTCCATGAATCATGATTTTCATTTTGCAAAATAATACTTCGTTTGATTTTGCCCATATTTACTGCCCTTTTCAAAAATGTTCATATGAGTACAATTGCTAAAATACAAAAATATACAGCACACACTGACTATATATAGTGTGCAGATAATTTTAAAGCAAATCTGAAATTGCCTTAAGTGGTTTAAATTGTCACAAAATAAAAAATGACATTTTCAGTAAAGAAAAGGTTCATTTCTATGCCATTTTAGGTGAACTCTTTATGGATACCACACACAATGATACGTACAAGAAGATCGAGGGCCACCATAGGGCTGATGCTTACTTTCAAAAGCCGAAAATTGATTTAGCGAAAAAGTTAGGGGCTTTTCAAAAACAAACTCAGTCCATGAGAGATTTTCCTGGCTACACGAATGGAATGCCCACACGTATGCGTCCTGCATGTCCTCCACCTTCGACTATAGATCTCAGGTTTGATAACAAGTGAGTTTTCAGACAGACTGTATCGGTTCGATTTGAAATATATCCGAGTCAACATGGAAAGTAAAACATAGTTCAACATGGTGTCAGAATGATATTATATGATTGTCTTGTGATAGAGAATGTATTTAAATGAATGCAGTCCAGATTAAAACTGAAGTAGTGAGAGACATGAAGTGTAAATATATTAATTGTAGGAGGATGTTTATACATTGACTGTAAAATGAAGGGATCACAAGTACCATTCATATTAATACATCACAGTAAATTCCTAGTATTGATTCTGAATTTTACTGACTCCTTATAAAACCATAGATCTTTTTCAAAGTGACTGCACATACAAATCCTGAGTTATCATGTTTGGAATATTTCTTTTATCGATTGCTTATAAGAATTGGATTTGTTGTTATTTTGGAACAATTAATATGTGTTCAGGAGAGCGTTTGATACAGAACAGCGTGCCATCTACAAAGGCCATGATGTGATCCAGAACCCAATGGTTAAACCATGCAAGTTTGAATCTGATGAATACAGTCCCCCAACTGAGAAATTTTCTACCGAAACGTCACACAAGGTAAGGATTGTGTTACAGCTTGTCTATCTGCTAAACCAAAGCTCATTTCTTATCTTAGGTAGTAAACAATGAAAGCATATCCATAATGATTAAACAAGTAAGTCCTGAAAAAAAAAATCAGTATATCAAAACATTAGCATAGTTTTAAGAAATGGACCTAGTATATCTCGGGGATCAGTTTAGACAGAATGCAGTCATACTCAGACGTCAGATTTCGACAGGTCGGACCAGGTCAGGTTTAATACAGGTCTGACCAGAATGGTCAGGGATTGGTTTAGATCTAGGATATCATAATACTTCCAGGTCAGGTTTAAGACAGGTTTGACCAGGTCAGGTTTAAGACAGGTCTGACCAGAATAGTCAGGGATCGGTTTAGATTTAGGATATCATAATACTTCCAGGTCAGGTTTAAGACAGGTTTGACCAGAATAGTCAGGGATCGGTTTAGATCTAGGATATCATAATACTTACAGGTCAGGTTTAAGACAGGTCTGACCAGGTCAGGTTTAGGACAGGTCTGTCCAGGTCAGGTTTAAGACAGGGCTGACCAGAATAGTCAGGGATCGGTTTAGATTCAGGATGTCATAATACTTCAAGGTCAGGTTTAAGACAGGTCTGACCAGGTCAGGTTTAAGACAAGAACTCAAACTACTCGAATCAGATTAGACAGGATATCAAAATACTCCAGGGTCAAATGAGAAAGGAAGTCAGAATACTCACAGGTCTGTAAATTAGACAGGATATTAGAATACTCAGAGCCAATGATAAAGACAGGATGTGAGAATCCTGAAGGATGTAGATTAGACAAGATAACAGAATACTCAGTAATCAGATCAGAAAGAATTTTGGAATACTTATACTCAGATTACACGCAAGTTCAAATATACATTCAAAGAGTAGAGAAGATTGGATATCACAAAAGACTGGAGGCTTGATGTAGTAAACTTGAAGTATGCATTATAAAATTAAGTTGTATTCTGGTATGTCTTTGAAATCATTTTGTGGAGATTGTTGGAGAACTCAAATGTGTTATTATATAAGCCACATTTCACTTCATTTTAAGTGAACATTTATTAAGACACAGTTATAAAAAGGGTGAAAGGAACATTGTCATATTGACACTGAGAGAGTGAGAGAAAGCGATGATTAAATACACTGAGAGATATTGTTTCAGTTGATATGCCAATGATAAATTTTCTCTTACAGAAAGATTTTGTACCTATCGACATCCCCATGAACTTCATGCGGCGAGCGTCTGCCCCCAGTACAAACTACGTCCAGAGTAGCCATAAGTTTGATGGGCAGACCACAAACAAGGAATTGATGAAAAACTGGGGACCACAAAAACGGGTCAGGTACGGAGACTTCCATGAGAATCTCAATGTCCAGCCGATCGCCAAATTTGGTGGGATCAGTGTAACCAAGGATTCTTTCGTTCCAAAGGGCACAGTGGAAACCAAGGACTTCCGTCCTGAACACAAGGCCATCAATAGGGAGGGCGAAATTGACTTTGACACTGTGTACAGAGACACATTCCAGAAACCTGTTGTTAAACCATGCCGCGCTCAGATCTTCCTGGCTAAGCAGGAAATACTGAGACAACAGCGGGCGAAGGCAATCGCCTCACATTAATGGCTTAGTGAACAACAAGTTGTTGTATCAGTCCTTCAATGTAAAAAATGATAAGGTATATTTCACACAGTGTTTCGTTACTATGATTGATTAAAGAACCCATTACAGATAATTTTTTAACCTTTTCTTTTCAAGACCAGGCTTAAATTCCTAAAATCAGCTGCCTGGAATTGATAACCAACTGGCCAAATAATTGTATTTAACAAACAAACAAAAATTTTTTTTATGTTTGTTTCATTCTTTGCTTGGAAGAAGCGAAAATGACAGGAGATGATAATAAGGAAATATTGACATATTACTGGAATAGGTGAAAACGTTTTAGTGTTATAATTACTTTACGGAAATAATTTTCCTTACGTTGTACTTCATAATTGTTCTGTTGTACATTCTATCAGAATAGGACTTCAGATGTGGAAAGAAATGCCAGCATAATTACACAGTTTTGATCAGCTGTTTTTGTATTGAAATATTCAGTGTTACTGGCATTGTTCAATGTCTGTATTTTCATACAGTATATGAATGTGAATAATGCTTTATTTTAAGAAATATTCATAACACTTTCAGCATAAGATTTCATCATCCCATATCCTGTAATATTGTAAATGTGTAATAGCTGGTATAAAGTGACTGAAATCTGCTGGTGAGATGTGCTTATCTTTTAAAACAAAAGTTGTTTTCTAATTTTATATAATATGTAGAATCTGTTTCTTTGTGTCATCATCTTTATTTCATCACAAATATAAGATTTTAGAAACAATTAGGGTTTGTACATGATAATATCAGAAGTTAATTAAGAAAGCTAAGTGTTGTGATTGTAATTTTCAACATCATCTATACAGATATGTATCTAATGAGAACAGCTGAGTACAAGTACAATATATGTTGTATTTATAACTGGCTAAAATAACTTACATATTATTTATATATTATGATAGCATGTTTTTGCTTATCATGAAAAAATCATTTCATTCTGGTTTCTTTGATATCCTTTGGTAAATAATATTTTCTCCAATATAACTGTTATCAGATACAAATTTTACAAGTTGAGCAATTTACTAAAATACACAGAAAATGTGTAGTAAGCTGATGATTCAAATATTGAAATAGCAGATAAATTATTCTGTTTTTCTATCATTAAGAGCTGCTGCTCTACAGCAGAAAATATTTCGCAATTTTTTATCTTAAATATATTTTTCAACTATGAATTATTTAGAGTATTTTTAAAGACTAGAAACTGAAGAGTTGCTAGATAAACAGTATTGAATATATGTTGTGCAATTTTATGTTTGGTAGTTTACAAAATAGAACTTAATAATCTACTAACCGTTGCTTAAATTAGCTAATTGATTTGGAATGTCTACTTTTAGGAAATATTGGAAGATGGGATTTGTCTTAATATTTTGAGGTTTCCTTACCTCAGTTTATATCTATCATAACCTTAATTACCAGTTGTTGTTACTCTTTCTGTAAGCCAAATCATCTATTTTTATAACTGTATATAGATCTATTGTTACATAATTGTCTTTTTTTTAAGAAAAAGACCAATTTCTTTATATCTTAAGATAAAATTTTATCTGTTTAACGGAAATTGTTGAATTTAAAAATGTATACTATTCAGTATTATATTCATATTTATTAGGTAAGTTTATATGATTGTGTATAATTTTATCAAGGTTGGTGAAGGCCTGCACCTGATAAGGATGTTTTAAGTTTATCTTACCCATTCAATCAAAAGTAGAACATCAAAAGACATCAAAATTGTGAGGATATTTATATACATTTGACGAATTCAGTACGATGGTGTATGTTAATTCTGGAGAGGCATTTATCCCTAGACTAGCATCTTGTATATAGATATCATTAAAACAATGTTACTGTAGAAGAAGAATTTCTCATTCAGTTTTAAAGAAGAAAAAAAGTTCACAGTTCATTTATTGGAATATGCCACTCAGATTATGATAGTGTTTTATTTGCTGGCTAGTTATATCTGTACACTAGTCAGGTGTTTAAGCTGTTAAACTACTGATCTTGGGGCATATTTTTAAAATTTAACAAGTAGAATAAAATCTCCATACATTTCACCATCAGAATATGTACGCTGTATATGTTTATATTCTTTATTTTGTGTTACAATATACATTTATATGCTATTATGTCTTTCAATATCTCATATATCTTACACAGTGTGCCCATATTTCTGTACATCAGTGACAAATTAATATATTACTTTCCTTTAGATTAAGCAAATTGTTATGGTAGAGAATCAGAGTTAATAAGTTAAAAGTCATCTTTTTGTGATTCTTTTTTTTGGGTCACGAACATTCATGATGATTGATGAATATTAACTGGATAGGATCAACAACTTTAATTATTTTGGAAATCTATATCATTCAATCTGACTGAAATTTGATGTTTTGATACAACAAGACTGTTTAATAGGGAGTTATATGTAATGTGAAGACTTTCAGGATTAATATCTCTAAGCACTTGTGTAAACTTGATCACAAGGGGAGGCAATCCAAATGATAAACTTTCTAATCTTAAATCAGTATATGGCAGTACATATTAAACGTATTCTATCATAAATGTCACAAATTGAAGCCATATGTCAAAAATATCTTTTTGAATCCTTATTAAATTATGTTGTTAATGTTATTACTATAAATAGATTGTTACAGGATTTTTCACTTACATTCTGCCAAATCTAAAGCACTGATCAATATTTGTAATTATTTACACTCTCTATTTTAATGTTGATTTTATGATGAAGAGAAGCACTGAGCATTAAACATTACTCTTTACATTCTTTAATTCTATATTTATTCTTATGATAAATGTTGCGGTTTCTTTTAGTTCCTGTATCTTTTAAATTAACTTCTACTTAAAAGTCATCAAACTTAAGAGTGCACGCTGAGTTGACTGAAGATGGCACCCTGCTAGTAATTTATTGCTAGTCTAAGAGTTGTGATGCGTTTCCATGTCTACGCTATGTTAAAGGTCTGTGATTGTTTTTTTCCTGTGATATAACTCTTTAATTTCCTAACTATACTGTTAATCAATTAAAATAAAAAATTGTATAAGAGCATTATAATTGTCTTGTTATTTTTTTAAAAAATTTTTCGAGTGATTTTGCTGCAGGAGAGGTATGATACTATGTAGCTGAAACCAAGTTTAGTTTGAGATAAATATTGTGAAAAGAGATAATGGAACGCTGGCATTTATAGTAGTTCAATTCAAATATCAAGAAATCTACTTTTCAGCCGTAAGGGTCACTTTTACAAACTAGTAAAATGAAGAAGCTTGCAGTACTTCAGTGTTGAAGCACTTTAAAGTCAGCTTCAGTTATGTTCTATTACAAGCTTTAACAAACATATCTCAAATACAAAGGGAGACAATCCTGACCTGTTTTAGAACTCTAAACAATATAGAACCAACTCAAACCATGGATATGAATACAAACAAATTAGTGGTAATGTGACATTAGCACCACCAGAGTAGTGGTGACTGGATAGTAACACCACCAGATTAGTGGTGACTGGATAGTAACACCACCAGATTAGTGGTGACTGGATAGTAACACCACCAGATTAGTGGTGACTGGATAGTAACACCACCAGATTAGTGGTGACTGGATAGTAACACCACCAGATTAGTGGTGACTGGATAGTAACACCACCAGATTAGTGGTGACTTGATAGTAACACCACCAGATTAGTGGTGACTGGATAGTAACACCACCAGATTAGTGGTGACTGGATAGTAACACCACCAGATTAGTGGTGACTGGATAGTAACACCATCAGATTAGTGGTGACTTGATAGTAACACCACCAGATTAGTGGTGACTAGATAGTGACACCACCAGATTAGTGGTGACTGGGTAGTAACATCACCAGATTAGTGGTGACTGGGTAATAACACCACCAGATTAGTGGTGACTGGGTAGTAACATCATCAGATTAGTGTTGACTAGATAGTAACCCTATCAGATTACTGGTTACTAGGTAGTAACACCACCAGGTTACTGGTTACTAGGTAGTAACATCACTAGATTAGTGCTGACTGGGTAATAACACCACCAGATTAGTGGTGACTGGGTAGTAACATCATCAGATTAGTGGTGACTAGATAGTAACCCTATCAGATTACTGGTTACTGGGTAGTAACATCACCAGATTAGTGGTTACTTGGTAACTAGGTTCCTGAAAAAACTTTAAATCAAAGCTATTTCATCACGGATTTATGATGGATGGAACCTATTCTTAGTCCGTGATTTCAGATATCAGAGCTTTGTTTCTATTAATTGGAAATTTTAAGGACAGGGATCAGTCTCTTCCTTCCATGCGGTGGCTACTAACCGCATGGCCGATTTACAAGCAATTTTCGATAAAATGATCATTCAGACACAGGTTCTGTTCTACTTACAAAAAAATTACACTAAAGTTACACTTTAACGGGATATACGCCTTCTATTCGGCCTTTCAGTGGACGAGAGCCGATGTCACGTAGGGAGAAAGACAGGTCAATATCTCGGTATTGAGCCGGCCGATTTTGATGCGGTTTTCAACCTTGTTGATTCAGTTGGATGATACGAAATAAAAATATATTCCTTTTTATTTTTAGGGATCAGGGTACACATTAAACTTGTTATATACCTTAAAACCTTTTGTGACTCAAAGAAAATTTTCATTTAAAAAAAAAAGGATCTGTAATTTTTACCGGTCGATATCTCAAACCACATCAAGACGAGAACAAAACGGAGCCTGTGACGTCACAATAGATGATGTATCTATGTATGACGTCATAATTGATATTCTGAACATCAACAAACACACGCACGATTTCATAAAGACTTCAATAATGGGCTGTTTCGCATTCTTGAAATGTCTGAAACGTCGTAGGAAACCAAAAATCCATCCATATATGACCGAAGAAGAAATGGAAGGCATACCACCACAAGTACCTTATGGGAAGAAGTATTACCGACTGAAACTTGCTCC